AGTAATGATATAAGGTCTATAATATGTTTATATGATAGTGTGTGATGATATAAGGTGTATAATCTATGTATAGGATAGTGTGTAATTCTATAAGGTCCATAATATAGGTATGTAGTGTGTGTGGATATAAGGTCTATAATATATGTATCTGATAGTGTGTGTTGATATAAGGTGTATAATATATGTTTGTAATAGTGTGTGATGATATAAGGTCTATATTATATATACATGATAAAAAAAAAAGTAAGTCTATAAGTCTATAATATATGTGCATGATAATGGGTGATGATATAAGGTCCATATTTATATGTATGTAATAATGAGTGATGATATAAGGTCTATAATATGTGTATGTGATAGTGTGTGATGATACAAGGTCTATAACATATGTATAGGATAGTGTGCAATTATATAAGATCCATAAAATGTATATGATAGTGTGTGATGATATAAGATCTATAATATATGTATAAGACAGTGTGTGATGATGTATAACATGTGTATATGATAGTGTGTAATTCTATAAGGTCTATAATATATGTATATGGTAGTGAGTGATGCTATAAGGTCCATAGTATGGGTATTTGATACTATAAGGTCATCCATACATAGCTCTCCCTCTGGTGTAGTCATGATTGTGTATATTTTGTGTGCTCAGGGACCGTTAAGTCTCTGGTGTATACATGATTGTGTATATTAGAAGACAAGTGTTTAATATTGATGCCAATGCGTCTGTTGGCTCGCTGTATCCCAAGTGCCTGCGCCTTTTAGCAGCTAATAGAAAGACCTTTCTTTGTTTTGTCTGCCCGCTCCTCTCTTTTTGTAATAATCTTTGAGATGTGTCTATCACTAGTGAGAATGTCATTTTACAGGAAAGTCTATTTAACCCCAAGAGAAAGCCTTGACCTCATTCTTAGCCTACAGCTATCAGTCCCCAAATGATCATTGTCACAATCCATTCCCCCAAACTTCAACAGTCTACAATTTATTCTTCCTCTATTTATCCCAGTTCAGTTATCGCCGTCCCTGAGAGGCATAACAATAACTCTCCTTCCCTCTGATGGTCCTTACACCGACTTCAATGGGAGCTGATTCTGTGCTCTGCACCTTCCCCATCCCCAGAACAGGGCAAATCTGCAAACGTCTAGGACTAATCTGTCCAGAACAATGACATAACATCCACACAAACTAATGCCGTCAATACACCAATATATCATCTAAGAATATCACAGGAATATAGATTACTATCTACTATTTCAATCGATCTATCCATATAGGAACACACATTTACAGAATATACAAAAAGTACACGTGGGCATCTCTCTCTCTCTCTCTCTCTCTCTCTCTCTCTCTCTCTCTCTCTCTCTCTCCCCCCCTCAAACTCTCTCCCCATAACATCCCTGTAATGTACAGTCACATCAGTCTTCGACAATATAATACACGTGATTAATCGTATCCATATAATATTGTAACGATCTGCAACATAATCGGTCATAGCTGTCATAGCTGTCATAGGTAACTCAGTTCTGTACATTACCAGCACAGTCTCATCAGATTATGTCGATGTTGGAGATCGTTACAATTCATTGCCATCCATGTATTCGTATAATCTGAAAACTTTGCTGGGAAAGCCTAGTGTACAGAACTGATTTGCCTATGAAACTGTTTTACAACTATAGGCCATCTAACAATCACCAGTCATGTTGGTTTTTGCGGATCTACATTGTTTTATTTTGCTATAGACCATAAGACAGTTACCAGTTATGTTTTTTTTTTTTGCGGATCTACATTGTTATAGGCCTTCCAACAATCACCCGTGATTTTTTTGCGGACCTGCATTGTTATAGTCGATCTAACAGTCACCAGTGATTTTTATTTTGCAGATTCACATTGCTGTAGGCCACCTAACAATCACCAGTTATTTGTTTGCGGATCTACATGGTTTTACATTGTTATAAGCCATCTAACAGTCACCTGTGTTTTTTTTTGCGGATCTGCATTGTTATAGTCCATCTAACAGTCACCAGTGATTTTCATTTTGCGGATCTACATTGTTTTACATTGCTATAGGCCATCTAACGGTGCCCAGTGATTTATTTTCCTTTGCAGATCTTCCCTTCTATCTACCCACAGCTTTATTATTTCTACAAGTCAGTGACTACCTCCATTCTATCTGCCTGCATATGTATGTAGCACTGCAGTAGTAGAGTGCCACTACCAGCACAGGACTTTTGTTAGCAGGGGTTAATTGAATATTCATCCCACAATCCAACCATCCCTTCCAATAATTGCACCTTTTACCCATCGGAGAATGAATCCCCCAAGGTTCTGTTAAATATATTAAATGTTCTCCTTCAAGGATAGGCTGGGAAAGAAAAGGGGAGACCTAGGGAAAAAGAGGCAGAAGAGAAGGGTTTTCATTTGGCTTCCATCTCCATAATGAAGATCATCTTCCCCCTGAAACATGTATTTAAACAATAGAATGTGCGTGTGGCAGCGAAGCCCCATTGTACAGCACTGCGCCACCCCAACACAATGCGCCTTGATTGCCCCGCCATGGCACAATGCTGCCAAGTTCTTCCCTCTCCTCGCCTTATTTATTTATTTTTAACTAA